TGTATGTAAAATAATATATACCATATTATCTTTCGTCACATCATATTATATATTCTTATACGGCGTAGCTCGCACACGTTTTAAATATATAATATGTAATATATTATTCAAGCATAAAATACTTGATGCACTTTGTTCACGCGTGGTATTGAGTGTCGACTATTATAATGACTATGATATACATAGATCAGTGCTTCTCAACTTGAAGACTTAAAATATTTATTTCATTTAAAATGTTTTCGATTTTAGTTCTAATAATCATTGTCGATAAAGTCTAATGTTAGATTACTATTATTAAATAATAATAAAATTGTTAGGGGGGATCTTGACAGTTTTACATTAAATTTAGGAGGCCCTATAAAAAAAAAGGTTGAGAAGCACTGATATAGAGAACCTATATATTATGTATATAATATAATATATTTGTGTATACTTGAATATTATATATATTAATATATATATTTGATTCACAGGGTGTTGGGTTTTTTAAAAATAATTGATCCTATATTATAGATATACCTACACATACATTTATAGTATATAGGTATAATAGCTAAAATAATATGTAAAGTACATTCTGCGATAAATTGGTTATTTTACTAGCATATATATTATATTTCACTTTTTATAATTTCRAGGGTATACTATAACAAAATACCTACTGCGTACCTATAATATTTTAAATTTAGTATATAGGTACTATTACACTAATATACTGTACGCTGCATGCATTAGGTAGATATAATYACAGAAATACTGGCACTAGCAAGTGATAGTCATAATATATATAATGTTGGGTGCTATTGGGTTACAAAATTGCATGTAGGTAGATGCGGTATAGTTTGGAAATTTATTTTAAAGTTGTACTTATGATGTTATTCTGCCACGTAATTTTGTAACGCAAAATTTTGATAAGGTATATACCCTTAATAATATATTATATATACGTCGTCACCATCATATAATACTCGGTTTGTTGTGTGTAGGATATAATACGCATACAGTCTATTTGAGYGACATTTAAAATTTTTTTAATGATCGCAATAACAACAACAACAAAAAATAGTTATGTACATTATATATACACATAATAATATAAACGCACCTATAATACGGCGACTGTTGCGTGTGTCTAATTGGCGCATATATACATATACATATTATATGTGTGTAGGTGTATTTTTTTTCAATTATAACGTTTGTCGCGAAACTGACAACAAAGGATCATAAAAAACAATAAATATAATAATATTATAGCTATGGTATACCACCGGGCGAGGAAGAATTAATTGGTTTGGTTTATGGGCATAATAATAATAATAACATACACACACACACATATATATATCTGATACACTTGCTCATAATGGCAGGATGACCTTTCTCCTATCTCTTTCTCCTTGTGCGWGTATATGACAATATAATATATGTATAACGATATCAATGCGTACATCAACCGAGTTTATATTATATAATATATGTATAGATTACACATAGGTGTATCAGCTACAGCACATGTGCATAATTTAAATTATTATAATATAAATACCGCGTGCGCATTCATATTATTTTGTAGATAATATTATATTATGCGTACTGCAGCGTACCTATATACCTATACATATAGCTGCAGCACAGACCAAGAGTATAGTCGAGTATTTTATTTTATTATTGTCGCGAAATCGTCATATATTATATCTTATATATTATRATAATAGTAGAGGAAGAAAAAAGGGGTTGGTTTATTATATTATTTTATATATTATATGTACACTCGTCTTATTCACGGCTGCGTATAAGCGCGGTACACGACCGAGGGATTTATGGTCCCCCCTCATAATAATATAATACATTATTATTATTATTATTATTACATATACATATAAGTATATTGCAGCGGCTACGCTTTCGCCGCGGTGCAGTCTATATATAGGAGTTGCAGCGGTTCGCCCTCGAGGGAGAATCCTGTCCGGGGGCTGCAATATGGCCGTCGTGTGTATACGCCATATTAACTGCTGCAGTATATTGCGTATAGAATATGTATATCGGACGCCCGCGTGAGTGTTATATATTATGTATGTTCTATATATACTTCCTTAAAGGGGTGCGAGTGTGCAGCGACGTGGCTCTATAATGTTTATATTGTTTATAATCATATAATATTATTTAGGTACCTATATACGTAAACTTAATGTATTGTGGAGGTGTGTGGTGTGGTTTTTGAACGATATAATATAATATTATGTGTGTGTATCCGAATATAATAGAAAATATTAAATAATATGTTTAAAGACTAATAATATATTAGACTTGCGCAATATAAATAAATATTAATAATAATTTTGATGTTCGAGAAATGTTGTTAACGCAATAAGCTGTATAATGAGTGTCCATATATCATATATGTATATCATTATAATATACAAAAACGCTATGCAATTTTCCGGGTGATTCGTTACGTGTGTTATCGTAAATAATAATTATTTCGACCGTTCGTCGCGTATATTATTTTTATGGTTCTCGCCAAATTACAATCGGTCATCGCAGTTCAATAGCATTGACTGTATATAAACTATTAAAAAATAATAATAAACGTTTAATATCGTACGCGTTTATAATATTAAATTCGTTTGGGTTTATTGGCAATTATATACCACGGCGCGTGGAGGCTCATATTAAAACACATTTCTTTTTAAAATTAYGTAGCATATACTCAAAGCACGGTGTATTACATCTAAACTCTGTTGTTTTTATAAAGCGATAAGAGAAGGGACGCGAATCTTTTATGATTATTATTATTATTGACTATTGTACCTTTATATTCTCCATATTACATGTATTTACRATCATACTGAAGATTTTAGTCACATTTTTGAGACCGATGAACGTTATTTGAAAAATAAACTTTACTGGGCGGTACGCACGTATAATAATGAATGACGTTTATACGTATAGTAGTAATAGATATAGGTGTTTGAAATATTCAATTGAAATTTTCATTTTGCTGAACTTAACTCTACATATGATTTATTATCTCTCATACCTTAAAAAAATAATAAATTTAAATGCGTTCTACACTCACATAATCGGAATTACTGAATTCAACGCAACATATAGGTATTATACAAAAATCGGAAAATTCCTAAAGCATCACTATTATCATATTAGCTAGGTTTGTTAAGATTTCTCGTATTTCTGCTTAAATTCATTATTTTTCATGAATTCAAGTTGTACTATTATATGATGCATATAAAATAAACCTTGTTTCACAATTTTATATAAAACGTACCTATGTATTATACGTATATAATGATCAATAAATAATAGTGATATAATATATAATATGTTATACCTATATAATRGGTAATATTATATTTATATAAAGTACACGGCGCGCACACGTATGATGAAATTATTATTCGTCCGGTCCGCACACGTGTGTTAATGTATTATATATGAGAGCAGTTCTATACAATATAATAATTTAAAGCTGCGCTGCAGTCCTTATGGCCTGTGCGTTGGTGGCGGTTCGGCGGCGCAAGCTGTTGCGGCGTGGCGAAAGTGTTATGGCGTGCGGTAATCTCCGGCGGAACTGACCGCCGCCGCCGCCGCCTGCATCGTCTCGCGGGCGGGCGTTCGGCTGAATTCGCGCGAGTGCTTGCGCGCGCGTACACCTACCCTTATATATAGCCCGCCCGCTGCGCGGTCATCATCCCCCGCGCTTGAATACAGTGCAGGCCCGCGATATCGTATTTTCAATCTACAAACTATTCAATTAGCTTCCGTCACAGTGTCAAACAATGTGGGGGACGACGATATTATATAGCCGCCACTCCTGCCCTTATCGTCGTCGTCGTCGTCGTCATCGTCGTCGTTTACRGTATACACTGCAACACGCTGTAATGCATATATATATATATCGGCCGCCGCCACTGTTGTTTTCCCCTCATTCGCGCACCCACCGGATGACGTGTGTGGATGGGTGATGGGCAGGAGGAGAATTTTATAAGGGTCAAATTATGTAATGATTTAAAGGGACCGCACCGCAGCTAGCTTCCGTCCTATAGTGGTGTGTGTGTTTGTGTGTGTGTGTATATATATATTATATATAAACGAGCGCGCGCGGTATTAAAGCTTAATAATATCGCCGGCCGACCCGAAATTCCGTGTAACGGCATGTGTGCCGTCTCTAAAACGACACGTACACACACATGCACACCCAATCCGATACAAGTCCGTATCATCATCCATTTAATATACGAAGGGATAACTGAAAAGGCTTTTTTCCCATACATTTTTTTTTGCTCATCGTATAATATTCTTTTTCTTTTTCTCCATTTTCACGCCGAAAAAACCAAATTGATGATGATGTATTATTATACGAGTWGGTAGGTACAATACGAATGKCATAGGTACTTCGTGAAAATGCATATAATTATATTTCATTTTGTGTGTTGAAAATCTTAATATAGATTTATACGATCAACATTTTGCAAATAATATAGTCTCTTTGTTTTATA